CGACGCCTGGCGCGTGATCATCTGCACCTGCATCTTGCACTTGATGAGCTCGATCGGCGTCAGGACCAGGCTGGTCGCGGCTCCAGCGCCGGCGGCGGCGATGGCCAGCTGCGGAAACGACAGCGGTGAGTCGGCGTCGGCCTGGATCGACGAGCCCGACGCGCCCTGCTGGCCGGTCACGGACCGGATCACCGACTGGATCCTGTTGTAGGTGAAGAACAGGCAGGCATTCTCGAGCGTCGCGCCAAAGACGGGCATCGAGAGGCCGCGGTAGAGGCCGCGGAAACCCTCGCCTCGGTACGTCTGGCGGAAGCAGTCGAAGGCGCCGCTGTACCGAGGGGGACGGTCCGAAGCCTGCGTCTGCAGGCGCACCTTGACCAGGTCAAACGGATGCTCGAACACCTTGCTGCACATGCCCGCGATCGAGCCGAAGGCGAGGTCCTTGGTCGCCTGGCTCAATCGGCCGCCGTCGCTGCGGGTGGGGCCATCTTCGTCGACGGAATGGATGTAGTAGCGTTCAAAGTTGGGCGCATCTGCCGATGGAGCCGTCCTGCCAAAGCTGGCGCCCGCGCCAACAACGCCGATCGTCGAGACCACCGCGGCATGGATCGAGGGAGCCGGTCGGTCCTGCAGGAACTCCAGCTCGGCCTCACCGTCATCGCCGTAGGCCCTCGGTCGCGGCGAGATGGGTATGTCGGCATCCACCTCGGGCACCGAAGGCCTGCGAGTCCGCAGCAACGGGCTCGGAATGCTGTCGAACGCAGATGAGGCCGCGGGCTCGATGGCAAGGCCAAACGACGGCCGCTTCCGGCGGGCGAACGAGGCTGTGCTCATCGTCCTGAGGTCGCGCAGCCCGTCGTGTGCGGACATGGTGGGGCCGTGACCGTGGTCGCTGCTGTCCTTGCTGTCCCCGGCGCTGGTGCTGTTGCCGCTGCTGCCGCCAACGGCCTTTGCCTTGTGGAACGTCTTGACCGAGGACGACCGCTGCAGCGGACTCTCGAAGCGCGGCGTAGAGGCGGTCGAGCTGGGCGTCATGCTGCCGCTCGTCATGGGCCTGCGCGAGTCCGGGCCGATGCGGCGTGACCGGACCGCCTGCTGGCCCGGACGCGGCGGTGCGGTGTACATCTGGTGGAGCATCGGCTCGGATGCATTCGAGTCGAAGCGGTTGCGCGGGACGAGGGTGAGGTCCTGCATGTCGGCGGCGATGTCGTTGGGGTCGGAGAAGGCCGACGAGGCGACTGAGAGCGGGCGCGAGATTGATGCCGTCGAAAGCCTCTTGTGGTGCGAGAACGATGAGCTGGAGCCCGAGAGGATGGGTGAGCCGAGCAGGTTGGACCACGGCCTCGAGCCCAGGCTGCTGAGCGAGCGGCGGGATCCGTGGACGAGACGGTGTGCGTCGGCGGCGCCGTTGGCCGCGCGCCCGTGCGCTTCGCTGCCGCTGCCGCCAGTGGTGGTGTCGGTCAATTGAGAGCCAAACGAGAGCAACGACGGGCTCGAGGGCGTCGCGCGACCCGAGGCGTACTCGCGAACCGGAGCCTTGTAGACCTGCGAGTGGAAGCCGAAGCAGGCCGGCGCAGGTCGGAGGGCTGCATCGAAACCGGCCCCGCCGTTGACACTGGCGCCGGCGCCGGCGCCCGTCGTGCTGCAGGTGTCGACCGAGAAGCGTGACGACTGCGGGCTGCTCGGACGGCGAGGTCGGGTGGGCGACAGGACGGGAGCGACGTACTCGTGGTCGGCGTCCTGGCCATCGTGCTGCGAGCGCAGCTCCTCGAGGCTCTCCTTGGACCGCAGTATGATCGGCCCGGAGCTGCCGGTCGTCTTTTGCGCCTCGTCGAACGAGATGTGCTCGATGACGCTGCTGCGGGCCTGTGCCCGCGAGAGCGATTGTCCGACGGAGCTCTGGGTACGGATGCGCTGCGAGATCGACTCGCGGAAGGGTCGGCCCAGGCCGTCCGAACTCTTGGTCCTGCTTCGCGCGGCAGAGGCAGCGACATCGTCCGGAGCAGACGTCGACGGGAAGCGCGGCGCCGGCGCATCCGAGGCAACATGCGCCGGACCGAAGCCGGCAAAGGAGCGGAGGATGTCGACCGAGGGTGAACGACGGGTCGCACGGATCGTCTTCTGCGGAGATGTCTCGCTCAGACCGGCGGGCGTCGAGATCGACAGCGGAACGCCGACCAGATTGAGCCCGCGTACCTGCGCATCGTCGACCGACGGCATGCGGCCGACGACATGGACGTCTTCGGCAACTCGGCGTCCCACCGTTCCAAACGAGGGTGCACGGAAACCTTCACCCGCGGTTGAGGTCGTCATTGGCGAACCCGACGAGGATCCCGGCCTCGGATCCCGCTCCCGCTCCCTCCGACCCATGAGCTTCTTGAGCCCGGCGACGAGGCTGCTGCCGGATCGCTGGTGCCTTCGGACCGACGGGCCTGCGAAAGCGTCGTGATGCGCCTCACCGAGCGGGCGTCCCAGATCGTCGGCATCAGCCCACCGAGCGTCCCTGTGCTGGGGCGAGGCCAGCAGGCTAGCGATCGAGCGCCTGCGGCCGGTCGTCGATGGCGCAAACGGCCTGTTCGAAAGTTCCGGGCTGACAGCGCCCCTCCTCAGCGTGCCGGAAGACTGAAACCTCGGCGAGCTGGCCAGGTGGTCATCCTCGACCGCCTCCATCAGCGAGGCGGGAGCGACCGCGGCGTGCTGCTCGGCGAGGGTGATGGCGGCAGGCGCAGCGCTCGCCATGCGCACCTCGACCAGGTGGGCCGGCGGAGACCTTGCAAGATCGATGCGAGCCTTGCCGTCGTGCTGCCGGTCGTCCCAGCAAGGGCGAAAGGCGATCGCAGGCATCGAGGGCGAGGGCGAGCCTTGCAGCGACGGCGAGCGCGGGTACATGTCCGCCACGAGTGGCCGCGCCGGCCCGCTGTCCACTCCGTCTCCCTGACTGGAAGCAGGGCTCGACCGAAAGCTGCTGCGGTTGCTGCTGGCGACGTGAATCGGAGACGAGAGGTGGTCCAGGGTCCCAGCGGGGGAGCGAAGGTCGTCGAAGCCGCAGGCCGAGTCCGGTCGCGGCTGTTCTGGAAGGTCCGGCAGCATCCCGCCCGCGGCGGCCGCCGACCCACGTCGCTTGACGTTCTTGATCCAACTTTTCGAAGAGAGGAAGTCGTCGTGGCCAGACGAAGCGGTCGAGGCCGATGAGGTCGAGGTCGACGTGTTGGAAGACGATGGCCTGCCCGTCGGGGACCTATACAGGTGGTCGACCGAGAGCCGGGGCGACGACATCGAAGCCGGCCTGGCGTAGCCAGCCTCGAGGGGCATCAACGTGTCGAAGGCATCGGACGCGATCAGTGGAGAGTCCCGGGCGACCTCTTGCAGAAACGCGGCGTCGTTCTGCGAGAGGTCGAGGCAAGGCCGTGGGCAAGCGCGGATTGCGCAAAAGAGAGAGCAGGAGCGCCGACGGATCGAAGCGTAAGCAGGTGCTTCGTCGGTGCAGCTGCGACGGGGAACCTTCGGCGACTCACCTTGTCCCACATCTCGTCATCGACTCCGTCGCTGGGGTGCATGCTGTTGCTGAGCCTCTGCTTGATGCTGCCCCATCTCTGCGTCTTTGGACTGACGCTGTGGGCCTGCGAGACCGACTCTGCCTCGGCCGGCCGGTTGGCAAGCATCGCTGCCGGTGTCGCTGTCGTCGGGCTGCGCGTGCAGCTGCGTCAAGGTGCACCGGCAAAGCTCTGTGGACCCTCCTACCGGACCGCCGGCGCAGCTGCTCTTCCGAGGGATGAGCAGAGCAGGCGCCTCCAAGTGTCCGTTGTACGGCGGAACGGCTGAGCGCGTGGACCGCGCAAGAAGCTCCTTCGTCGGTCAAGGCAAAGCCTGGGCGGGCAGGACGGGATTGCGTACTGACTGCTGGGCTGTGAGAGCGCGTCAAGGAGCACAGAAGGTCTGCCTCCTCGTCGTTGGCGTGGTATGATGGTGATGGTCGTTGGCGTAGGATACTCTGTTGGCGAATGCAGATCCTGCCCGGAGAATAGGAACCTGGTCGCGATGCTTGCTGGTGGAAGCTGGTTGCCGTGAGTCCGGCGGAGCGTCGGGAGCGTGCCTCGTATCCAGAGCAAGTTGGGAACACCAGCAGCAGCCCGCTTGCTGAGCTGTCCGGCGCGGCAAGGCCGAGCAGCGACGAAGTGTTCGTGTATCGGCCGTCGTTGAGGCGGCGGAGGCAGGCCGAGCCAGTCGCGGATGAGCCGATCGGGGACGCGCAGGGTTGGTTCGGTGCTGTATCGAGGAGGCGAGACGTTGCGCCGCCGCTGGTGGTCCCGGTCCGGTGGCGGGTAGTGATGGCGGTCGTGATAGTGATGGCGGCGAGAGGACCTCCATAGACCCAGTCAACACACAGCGAGCACCAAAGGCATCCGCCGCAGATGGAGGCCAGCAGGGCCGGGCCAGGCCGCCCCCACCTCTGGCGGGTACCGAGGAGCACAGCCCCGGCTCCGGCTCAGTCCCCCCCCCCCCCCCACGGACGGCTGCGCCGACGCGAATTTTCGATCCGAGCGGCGTGGCCTGGCCAGCAGAGAGGCCAGCAGCCAGGCAGGCGTGGCCCTCGGTCCCCCTCGGCGAAGAGAGAAAAACCCGCCGAAGCAAAGCGCAGCGCAACAAGCAGGCAGGCAGGCAGGCGACACAAAAGAGAAACAGCCATGCGTGCATGCATGCGTGGCCACGCAGGTGAGCCTTGCCTGCCAGAGGCCAGCCGGCCCGTCCGATGCTCGTCCCGCTGCGCCAGAGCCCCTTGCAGCCGCGACGACCCAACGAACGCGACGACAGAAGCCAGCAGGCAGGCCAGAAGAGCAGGCTAGGAAACAAGCAGCAGCAGCAGCAGCTGACAAGCAAGCAAAGCAAGCAGCAAGCAAGCAAAGAGAGTGGGCCACCGGTAGCGAGCAGGCAAGCGATGGCGGCCTCGCCTGCGCGTCGCCGTGACAGGTGGTTCGTCCCCTTGCGCCCCATCGCTCGCTCAGAGTCAAGGCCGGCGGATGGTCAAGCGGCCGCGGGGGCCAAACTCAAAAGACGAAGGGGAGTCAGAAGAGAGAGGGCACGACGATCCCAAGAAGGCCAGGCCAGGCCAGGCCAGGCCGGGGCGGGCCTCGAACAAGCAGCGTCAAGCAAGCAAGGGCAGCCCGGACAGCATAACCATATATCGATGCACGTACGCCGACCTGCTTGCTTGCTTGCTTGTTTGCCTTGACCCGGCCCTGCCTGCTCCTCGCTCGTCCGCTCAGTTTAACTTGATTGCTTCCCTTTTGCTGCAGATCCCCCCTGTGCAGGCCAAAGCCCGCCCTCCTAGCCGCCTGCCTTTGAGATGTGCCACCGTACGCCGCAGCCAAGCATGTGAGGGCTTAGCGCTTCTTTTGGCTGATATGATGCTGCCGCCCTAGTAGCTAGGCAGGCTGCTGTCGCCGCCCTGCAAGCGGGTGGGCGTGCCTATACTCCTTGAGAGCCCGGTGACCGGGCGAGCGCTTTCCGTACAGGCTAGGAAGGTGACTTACCCGTCCCCGCTCGCCCTTGGGGTGCTGCTTGCCTTTGTTGCCGGGCGTTCTGACGTCGGGCATACCCAGTGCACTGGAAGGCTTCCCGCCTCGGTCGACGAGGGGCGTGTCGATCTCGGTCCGCAGAGGGCAGAGCGAGATCGCGTCCACTGTACGTGGTGCTCACCGCCGACCCCCTCGAGCTTCCGCCTCGGGAAGCCTCGGGACGGACCCGCATCCTGCAGAGGGCAGAGCCGGCACTGCAAGATCACAGTCTCGAAACTCCTGTGGGCAGGGCGGGCACGGTACTCTGGACGTGCCACTCTACCGGCCCCGTACCGTCTCGCTCGAAAGGAAGTGGCGATGCACGCGCCCAGGCCCGAGACAGGCGTCGGTCGGGTCGCCTTCTGTGCCGTAAGGCACGCGCGGGATCCCCGTCGTGGGAAAGTCGCCCGAGCTTCAGACATCGACGCTCGCCCGACACCTCGATGGGCCTGGTCATTCAAGCTAGGAAGCTGCCCGGAGATAGATGATCGCGCCGTGCTCTGATGACTTCTGGCTATGCGCTGCTTGGGCATGACGAACTCGGAGCGCCGAGCAGATCGTCCGGGAGGCGAGCAACCACCAAGGCATCGCCGCCGTCATTGACGCGCAACCGATTGCGATCTGTGTGGCGTGTGCCTTTGTCTTCCCACGTCGTCGTTGCCGCTTGTCGTCACAGGTGCATGGCACCAAAGCCCGAGTCAGCCACGCTTCATGGTTCGCCGGCGTCGGTTGACGATACGATGGGCGCTGCGCACGCACGCATCGAGATTCCCAAGCCAGCAAGAGGCAGGGGCATGAGAAAAGCTCGACCAACCAGGGCAGGAGGCTCGCTGGCCAAACAAGGTGGACTTAGGTACCGCAGGCGGCGGGGCGAACTGCGCCAGAACCGCCTGCCATCGCCATCCTTCCCCTTTGGTGCTCCTGATGCGGCCAGCCCGTGGCTCTCGAATAGGAGACGTCGAGGACAGGAGCTAGGTTGCAAGCCAGGGAGGAGGAGGGCAGGGTCCCCCTGGCTGCCATTCCTGACGATGCTCGGCGTCGGTTGGATCGCTACGGCCTGCCTGTTTGTCTCAGCAACCGCCGTCCAGGGCCAGGCAGGTCATGTCCGCTGCCTCTCGACGATGACGGCGACGACGACGGCGACGATCCCGAGTCGTTCATGGTCGGCACCTCGAGAGGGACGGTCGGTGCCTGTCGCCATGTCGATGGAGACCCCCCCCCCCCCCCCCTAAAAAGGAGGCAGGTGTACGTGTCCTTGCCTCGTCTGCTTGCGAGGATCGGACTGGGCGGTCGGCCTTTTCGATCGTGTCGCGCCGCCGCCTCGAGACGTTGCCAAGGAAGGCAGCAGTGCGAATCTGCGACACAAATACCGCCGATCCCGGCGCCGCGGAGGTCAAAAGAGGGGCGGCGCAGCGCGAATACGACGCTCATCGGTCCGTCCCGATGCCGCCTCTTTGCGGCTGCCCCGAGAGGGCGCCTTGGTCGTCAAAGGGCGCTGGTGCGTGATAGGTGCCGGCAGAGCCGGTCGGTCGAGGCGATGGCGACCTGCGGCGGGTTGTGACGGCTGTCGACCCGAGGAACGCGTCGTAGCTTCGCTCGCTTCCAAGTGGCCGGCCTGAAGACGAGGCCGACGAGGGCGGACGTCATTGACGGGCGCTGCCATCGGCGAGGCCTCATGGCATCCTCGCTTCCGTCGTAGGAACGTTTGCCCATCGGATCGTGGCAATCCCGTCGTCGTCCCGCTGCGTCGTCCTCGAGGCCCCTCCAGCTCGCATCCATTGGTTGTCTGTGGGCCATCAATGGGCGCCGAGAGCTGATGGTCGCCGTCGCTTTCGACCAAGCTTCGCTCGAGATGCGCGTGGGGCGGGACTCTGGTCGCTTTGTCGTACGGTAAGCTGCGCGCCTTTGGGGACCCGTATCGAAGCCTCCACCTCGCATGAGCCAGCGCGCGTTGACCCGCAACCCGGCGCGGCATCGAAGGATGTGGCAGCGACCTCCCCCGCCCTGTCCTTTGCCACCACGTCCATCCATCCTTGGTCCATCCCTCACCCCTCGGACTCTCTCTTGGGCCCTCGGTCAAGCTGGACAGCGGGTGAGCGACCATCTCCTCTGCCACCGACACCAAAAGCCGCCCTCCCGCAAAACCGACCGGGTCGAATCATAGCCACGCTGCCAGGGCGTTTCCCCCACGCCCCTTGATCGCACAATGTCAGCCGTATCCTCGGTGGATGTGCTGCTCCTCGGCAGCGGCTGGTCTTCCCAGTTCATCCGGCCGCTACTTGGACGGAGCGGCCTCTCATGTGCCTACACGTCGCGCCGCGATCCCACGCCAGAGGAGTCGGCGCAGGGCCAGTTCCGCTTCGAGCTGGCAGACCCTTTCGACCCGGCCAGCGTGGAGCCGCTGCCAAGGGCCCGCACCGTGGTCATCGTCTTCCCCATCAAGCTTCCCGAGGTCGTCGTCCAGCTGGTCGAGGCATACGAGCGGGTGCACGGCGCCACCCGGTGGATCCAGCTCGGCAGCACGGGCATCTGGCCCAGCGGTTGCTGCAACTCCAGGACGCCCTTCGACACCGAAAACCCGCGTGCGGCATCCGAGCAGCGCCTCCTCGAGCTCGACCAGGTGACGGACCGGGAGCCGAGCCAGGATGGAGAGCAGGAGCAAGGAGGAAGCACTCGCAGGACCTGCGTGCTCAACCTGGCCGGCCTGTACGGCGCAGCTCGCCAGCCCCGCAACTTTGCCGCCAAGGTCGGCGGCACAAAGGAGAAGCTCGGCCTCAAAGGCAGCGTCCACTTTGTGCACGGCAAAGATGTCGCCCAGGCTATCCTCCGCGTCCATCAGAGCGACTCCGAAGCGTGGGGTCAGAGGTGGATCGTGTCAGGTGAGCCGGATCTGGCCAGACCGAATGCCCCCGTACGTGCATGTGCACGTTACTGACAACCTTTTCCTGCGTCGACGTCGTGTCGCTCTCTCCAGACCGCAACGTCTACGACTGGTGGCAGCTCGCCGCGGTGCTGAAGCCCTCGATCCCAGGCCAGGACCGGCCAGACATTGCGTCGGTCTGGGTAAGCGAGCTGATGGAAGAGTACGGCATCTCTGCGCTGCCCCGTCCGGTGGCCAAGGAGGCCGAAGATCGGATGCCGTGCTTCCTCGAGAGGGCGCTCGACGGTCGCGACTTTTGGCGCGAAGTCGAAGCTGAGCCTTTTGTGCCCTCGGTCCTCCAGCCCGAGCCCAAGGAGGAGGGCGGCAGCGAGGGCGAGGACGGAGGATCGCAGGAAGCCGCCCACGGTGCCGGCCAGTCCTTTCGTGCAACGCAATCCAACGGCCACAGCGGCGCCGGGGAAAAGGCCAAGGGCGGCTTCGCGCCGAGGCCCTTTGATCCTGCCTTTGGCGAGGCAGAGGTGCAGGCTCTGATCTCGAGGCTGGAGCAGGACCTCGAGCGGGGCCTTCCCGCCGAGTGCGACTTTGAAGGCTCGCACGAGAGGTTCGGCCTGCGTCACGACGACTTCCGGCGGCTCGCCGATGCCTGGATCCCCTTCCTCAAGGGCAAGGGCCGGCCCACGCATCCAGAAGATGAGAAGCGGCCGGGACCGGATCACGACACCTGGGCGGCGCGGCAGGCCCAGCTGCAAACCTTTGACCACTTCAAGGTGCAGATCGAGGACGTCGACCTGCACTACATCCACGAGCGGGCGTCGCCCGATGACTCGGCCAGGATCATCCCGATCCTGCTGCTGCACGGCTGGCCGGGGTCGTTTATGGAGTTTCTCGACTGCATCAAGCCGCTGGCGCACCCGGGCGACCTGAGCGGGGTCCGATTCGACGTCATCGTCCCGAGCCAGCCGGGCTACGCGTTCAGCAGCAGCCCGCGCGGCCTCGAGCGCAACAGCAAGACGGGCAAGGTCAGGGGCCACCAGTCCGGACCCGACGGCGACCTGCTCGTCCGGGACGTGGCGAGGATCATGAACAAGCTCATGGGCGGGCTCGGGTACCAGCACTATGCCGTGCAGGCCGGCGACTGGGGCAGCCTCGTGCTGCGGCAGATGGCGCTGCAGTTTCCCGACCGGGTGCTGGCGACGCACCTCAACTTCTGCCCGAGCGTCGCGCCGGCGATCCGGCTGCCGCTCGTGCCCAGCTGGACGCCGCAGTGGCTGCGCAAGCTGCCGCAGCGGATACCCAAGACGTGGTACGCCCGACCGATCCCCGTGTTTGGGCGGCTGGGCGATTTGGCCTGGAACGTGGCGCACTACTGGAGCCTGGGCGCGTTGCCGGGCCCGCCGTCGCAGAGCGAGCGACGGCGGATGTGGCGCGGCATCGAGTTTGTCAACAGCGGCCAGGCGTACGCCAACATGCAGGGCACGCGGCCTTCGACGCTGGGCCTGGTGCTGAGTCGCAGCCCGCTGGCGTGCCTGGCCTACATTGCGGAAAAGTTCCTCGACTGGAGCGATGAGGGGTGCATCACCGACGCCGAAATCCTCTCGAGCCTCACGCTCTGGGAGCTCACCGAGACCATGCCGCGATCCATGTACCCCTACCGCAACCGACCGCCCAACGGCGCGGCCATGATCGTCAGCGACCCGGCCAACTTTGTCCACTGTCCGACCGGCTTCAGCGACTTCAACGACATCATCTCGGTGCCGCGCAGCTTTGTCGCTGCCAGCGTTAACCTCCGCTGGTGGCGGTCCCACGACCGTGGCGGTCACTTTGCCGGTGAGTCGCCGTCGTTGTCGGCTCTTCGAGATCGCCAATTCGAGGTGTCGCTCATTCGTCGTCCCTCGTGCTGACCCGCTCTCTTGCCGCCCACTCCTCTCAGCCCTCGAAGCGCCGTACGACTTCGTCAGCGACGTTCAGGACTGCTTTGCAGAAATCTGGCCGCTCTAGTGGGCGTCAAACGACGAGCCCCGCTCGATGCTTGGATTGCCCAGATCCTCCGGCTGTGTTCCGTTTGGCAGAGTTGTGCTTTGCCTCTGGCTGGCCCCAGCTCCATGTCAGTTGGTGTTGCATGGCCAGGCCTAGCAGATGCCCGATTGACCGCGTCGAATCGGCAGCGAGGCAGGCGAGGCAGGCGATGCAGGCGAAGGCAATGCAGGGTCCTTGCCTGTCGCGCGAGGCCCCGCGACCGCCGTCCCAACTCGCTTTGCAAGGCGGCTTCATTCGCACGCCATCACCCCTCGGCCCCTCGGCACCACCAGCCTCACCTCGATATCGTCTGGCGCTACAGCGACTGACTAGATCGACCGCTCGAGGCCGCCGTACCGCCGCCCCCCCTTTCCCCTTGCTGCCAATATACTACGGACTCGACGTCTCACACCATCCATTCAGGGCGCCTCGCCGATTTGCTCTGCGCCGCCCCACCTCTCTGGCCATGGCCCCCCGTGGAAAGTGTACCTCGACACGATGTCGCAATCCGCTCGCAATCACACCACTCTATCTACTCTCTCCTGCTGCGCTAGCCTCGGCCCCGTAACCACGACCATGACTCCGTCCTTGTCTCAAGCAGCACGTACGCTGCGGGCCATCGTCCGCGCTGCGATCGGCCGTGTCGTCGAGCCAGCCAGCCTGCTCTCCTCGACGCAAGGATGAGAACGCACTGACCATTCCTCCTCGCCCTGCCGGGAAGCCGCTCTACTCCGATGTCGCTGCTCGTGCAATGGTCTTCATGTTCTTCGGCCCCTCCGCAGTCGGACTAGACTGCAAAGCTGCCCCACATCGGCAGCGGGAACAGGCAGCGAGAGGTGGTTAGCCGCACTGCCCAGCCATATAAGAAGGCCACCGTAGACGCTCGAAGGCGATGGCCCCTGGAACAACGTCCCCGCTACCCTCCCAGTCGTCTGCCGCACCCTTCTGACAGCCCTCGCCCCGAGACCACAAAACTAGTCGAGCAACACGGACGACACAATGGCACCGTCAGGAGACCATGGCTCAGCGCAGCAGGGCGCCTCCCAAAAGAGGATCAGTGAGTCGAGTCTCGGGCGGAACATGATCTTCAACGAGGGCCGTACCGCTGATGCCGTGCTCGACTGATCCCTGCACGCGCCCGCCAACAGTTCTGTACGCCTTCATGATGGGCTGCTCGTGAGTAGGACGCTGCATCCCCTCGACTTGTGGACGTGGTACTGGCAGAGGAACTGACTCCTGCGACGTCCCCCCTGTCTGGCCACCCTCCGCAGCGGTCATCAATCCCCCGGCGTCTGGACCCACCCCGCAGACAGGAGCCAGTACCACAACAAGCTGAGCTACTGGACCGACCACGCCAAGCTGCTGGAAAAGGGTCGCTTCGACGGCCTCTTCCTTGCCGACGTCTTGGGCGGCTACGACGTGTACAACAAGAACCTCGACGCCGCACTTGGCTCGGGCGCCCAGTTCCCGTGAGTGCGCTTGCGAGCCGTGGCCGTCAGACAAGGAAGGACAGCAGACCTGAAGCCCTCCTACCTGCCTGCTGCCTGCTGCCTGCTGCCCGCCTGCCTGCCGCCCGCCAGCGTCATCGACCCGCTGCTGCTCATCTCTGCGATGGCGGCGGCCACCAAGGACCTCTCGTTCGGCATCACGGCCACGACGAGCTATCAGCACCCCTACGAGCTTGCGCGACGCTTCAGCACGCTCGACCACCTGACCAACGGCCGCGTCGGCTGGAACGTCGTGACGGGCTACCTCGACAGCGCGGCTCGGCAGTTTGGCGGCCAGAAGCAGGAGCTGCACGCCAAGCGGTACGACGTGGCGCACGAGTACATGGACGTCGTCTACAAGCTGTGGGAGTCGTCGTGGGCCGACGACGCCGTGCTGCACGACCGCGCCAAGGGCGTCTACACGCGCCCGGACCGGGTGCGCGCCGTCAACCACACGGGCAAGTACTACGAGAGCGTACCCGGCCCGCACATCTGCGAGCCCAGCCCGCAGCGCACGCCCGTCATCTACCAGGCGGGCAGCTCGGGGCCAGGCATGGCGTTTGCGGGCAAGCACGCCGAGGTCATCTTTATCGCCGCCCACCGGCCCGACGTGGCCAAGAAGCGGGTCGAGGCGGCGCGGCAGAGCGCCAAAGAGGCCGGCAGGGACCCGCAGAGCCTCAAGGTGCTGGCGCTCCTCTGCCCCATCATCGGCAAGACGGACGAGGATGCCCAGCGCAAGTACAAGGAGCACCTCGAGCACGGCTCCGATGAGGGCGCCCTCGCCCTGTTTGGAGGCTGGACGGGCATCGACCTGGCACCGTTCGGAGACGATGAGGAGCTGCGCCTGACCGAGAGCAACGCCATCAAGTCGGCCGTCGAGAACTTTGCCAGCCAGGACCCGTCGGTGCCCAAGTGGACCAAGAAGGCCGTCGCCGAAAAGATCAAGCTGGGCGGGCTGGGCCCCACCATCGTCGGCGGACCAGAGTCGATTGCCGACCAGCTCGAGGACTGGATCGAGACGTCGGGCGTCGACGGCTTCAACCTGGCCTATACTCTGGCCCCGGGCACCTTCGAGGACCTGGTGAACCTCGTCGTACCCATCCTCCAGCAGCGTGGTCGGGTGTGGAACGATTACCCCGCCGTCCCGCAGCCGCCGCGCGAGACCTTCACCGACGGTCCGGCCACCGGCTACGGCCCCAACGAGGTCGTAGGCCTCACCAGCCGCGAGAAGCTCTACGGCGTCGGCAACAAGAAGCTGCGGTCAGACCACTACGGCTCCCGGTTCACCTGGCGAGCCGGTGCAGAGCCGCCTCAGTTGGATTGATCAGGCTGTTGAATCCCCGCGCGTCGTTAGCTGCTGCAGTCCGTTGAAAGCGTAGCCCTGCAGTCCTTTGAAAGCTTAATGGCACGCCCGTGCAAGCAGGCCTTGATGTTGTGAGCAAGATGCGTGTCGGGACAAGTTGATGAGCTGCTGCAGTCCTCAGTTGGAATCCCTCGTCTGCAGCAGCAGAGTCAACAATTGGCATATATGTGTGTGCCAACAAGCTGCAAACATGCTTGCCGGTGATCAACACAGAGGCCTGGCATCAGGGGCTGGCTGGTTGTGCTTCACAGATCTGCTCTGAAGCAGACAAGTGCAATGTTGCAGACATCTGCATCCTTGACTGCGGCCAGCAGGTCAGCATGGAGCAGCACTGCCAGTGGATGGAAGGCTGCACCATCTTGACGGAACGTCATGGAGTTACCATTTCCTAGCCTGACCTCAGTGTAGACCCTAGCCTTGTTGGCGCCTGTGATGGTCCGTGTCTTGATGGCAGGCATGACCTTCTTGCTCCTCTCTGGGGCTTTCTCTCGATGGGCTTTGAACTCCTTGATGATGGCGGCCTGCTGCTCCTGAGGTGCCCCTGCCTGCTGGGCCATGATGAGCTTGCTGACGTAGTAGGCCAGCACAAGGGTACCCTCGCCATCCCGGAGCTCTGGGTCCTTGCCCCCGATCCTGAAAGAGCGACCGATGATGCCCTCCAGCTCCTTCAGGGTGTGAGGAAGCTTCAGGTGGGGGAAGCGCTTGCCTGAGGCAATGCCCATGATGTGAAGCACAGGAAGCATGTCCTTCAATGTCTGTAGGAGAGAGGTGATGGCCTTGCCAGTGTCCCTGGATGAAGTTGAAAGCCCAGCAATCTGCTGCATCTGGACCAGTGAGCACCTGCAACAGTACAGAGAGCTGAGCTGGGCTGGTGCACCATCCTACTGCTGAGCGATGGTGTCAGAAGGACATTCTTGCAGCAGCAGCAGCAGCATCAGCAGCAAGAGGACTTGATTGCCTTTCAATGCTCCACTGCTCCAGGTGAGTGTGGCATTTGCCTGCTTTGATGGAAGGTGGGTTAGAATTGATGGTGCTGACTGCAAGCAGGGCAAAGAGCTGAAGATCAGAGGCCAAACATCATTGCCGCTACTGATGCAGCTGTTGCAACAGGCTGTTGCAGCAAGCCTTGTTCAACAGTAGCATCAACCGCACGCCGGTGCTCTACAAGCAGAGGAGAGGCAGCGGGTGGGGCGCTCCGCACCAAAGGCCGCCATGCCTCCACAAGGGGCCGGCTCGCTCGCTCGGGCCATTCCGTAGTCAGCTCCGGCATCCCCCCGCCCCTTTCGAGGCCGCCCATGTTACCACCCTCCGACCTCGACTCCCCTTGCCACCCTGCTCGCACCTCGACTCGCATACCATGCTCCAACACCTGCCACTGGAGCTCGTCGCACAGGGTGAGTTGGCTTTCCTTGGCCCCCTCGCTGCAGCAGCGACGCCAGCACCACGCTTTACTGACCAGCCACCCACGGCCGGACCTCTGTCCGACTGGCCACCGATCCGCCAACGCAGTCGCAGACATCCTGGGCGAGGCCTCGCTCGGCAACCTCATCCCGCTCGCCCAGACCAGCCGCCATACGCGCCTCTCGGTGCTGCCCGCCCTCTACTCGTCGATCGCCATCTACAGCCGCACGCAGCTCGAGCGCTTCGCCTCGCTCCTCGGCCAGCTGCCGCGCGGCTCGCCCCTCGATCCGGCAACTCGTATCCGCTCGCTCCGCCTCGGTCCGCGCGACACGCTCGCCTCGGCGTCCGAGACGTCGCACTACTTTTCCAGCATCAGCTTCTATAGCGGCGGCGACGACGGCAGCAGCGACGACAGCGGCGCCGCCGATGGACATGACGACACCGACGACGGCGACAACGACCGAGTCGACCGGCGGTGGCTGCTGACGGCGCGCATCCTCGAGCGATGCAGCTCGTTGCAGGACCTCGTCATCTGGGATGGCCTGCTTGGCGAGCCCGCGCAGGCATCGAAAGCGGGTTCACGCCGGGCGACGGGCCTGTGGGCACTCCACCCGGAGGCGCGGCTGCAGACGCTGGCGCTGCCGTTCCTGTGGCGGGGAGGGGCCAGCCTGCCGTCCCCCTCACTGCTGCCCGCCCTGTCGGACCTGACGCAGCTCGACGTCGTCAACTCGGGCCTGACGACGCACGACATCCGCATCCTCTCGCACTACCGCCGCCTCCGACTGTTCCGGTGGTACTACCGTCCCTTGGGTATGACGGAGCTCGAGCTGCTCCTCGAGACGCTCAAGCGGGGCTGGAGGCAGCAGCAGCAGCGCGATGCCACCGCAGCGGCGGGCACGCCGGCGCACATCCCGGCCATCGACGACCTGGACGTCTACATCGTGGCCAACAGCGGGATGCTGGCGCAGATCGAGGGCTACCTCGTCTCGCAGACGCCCGGCTTCGTCTTCGTCGACCCGTACCTCGCCGTCGTCTCGCCAGACTCGCGCGTGCCCTCGCCCGAGCCGCCGCGGCGCACCCTGCCGCCCCAGGTACTGCCGAGGGCCATGCGGGAGCGGAGGCGTGCTCGGCGGCGGGG